TTCCCTGACCCCAGATGCCTCTAAAAGGAACCCAGGCCATCATTCAAGGCCTTCCCACAGTTGCCTCTTTCCAGGGTTGTGGATTCAGTTCGGAGGGCTCTGTCCAGCCTGACTTCTGCCTATCCTCTTTCCCAAATTCCACCCCCAGCTCCTCTCCCATCTGTACCCAGTAGCCAGAGGAATCCCAGTTCCAGTTTCCCACTGCTCTTAGGATAAAGTTGTCACTCCACACCATGGCTTGCTGGGCCCTGCCCAACCCAGGCCCCACTAGCCTCACCTTGGCCCTTACACGTCACTCACTCAGTTCCAGTTACTGTGGGAAAACCATTGGCCTTCATTCTACCCCTCTGTATGTACAGCTGCCTCTGTCTGGAACTTTCTTCCCCTGCAGCTCTTGAGGCTGTCCCTTTTTGTCACTGGTCCCAGCTCAAATGTTTCTCCTCTGAGAGGCTTTTTTCTGACTATGCCTTTGGGGGGAAGAGGGTCCCCCTTCCCAGCATCCTGGTTGTTACCTTCATAGTACTTGGCAAAATGAATGAGAAAAAGAAAACAGAGCTACTCTGTCTCCCCATAAGACTGTAAGCTTCCTGAGGACCGGGAATTTGCTAATCTTGTTCACTATTACTGCCAATGCATAGTATCTGAAGCTTAGCAGTCACTCAACCAACATTTCTTTGAAGAAACGAGCCTATTTTTTTTTTTTTTAAGAAACAAAATTATTACGTCCTCAATATGTGCTATGGTTTGGGGACACTAAAGATGACTAAGTCCCAGGTCTTGCCCTCCAGATTCATATGCTAAAATAAATCCCCCCAATGGGCTAAGTGGAAAGAGAGCTCTATGCAAGGTACTATTTATTTTCTCATGATGAAATGCCTCCCTTTTGAAGAATCCTTCTCTGTGGCCAAAAACTGTCTTTGTTTCTCTCTACACAGGCTGTTTACTCCCCAGCCTTTGCTCTTGCAAGATCCCTTAGTCTGGAATGTTGTCTCCCATTTCTGAACAGCCAAATGCTCTGGTCTCTTTCCGTTTGAGCCCTTCAATATGAGTATTTCAGGGGATCGTGTCTGCCTTCCCACTGGACAGACAGAATATCTCAGTGGCAGGCAGGGACAGGGTTATATGTGCCTTGCCGAAGCCCTTGGACCAGAGCAGGCACTCAGACATGCTTGATGCATGGAAGGTGTTTTTCCAAAAAGGCCTTATCCCTTGCAGTGCCCAGGCCTACTTGTCACAACAATGCCCTAACCCCTCCCCCAAATTCCCCTCCCCCAAGCTACCAGACTATAGCCCCTCTGTTCATGGCTCCCTCCTTACTCTGCAGCCGGGGCTCTGGCACTATCTAGCTGGGTCATCTTGATGGCCAGGCTTTGACTCTGTCTGTGCCTTTCCCTATTCCCAGCCGTAAATGTGGCACAGGACAGCTGCTCCCAAGGGTCCTTGTGAACTCTGCTGCACCTCCTCTTCTTGCCCCGATCCTAGAATCCCTTGATCTTGAGGCCCTGTGAGGCTAAACACTTCCACATGGCCATCCCCAGTCTTGGCATGGACAGGTCAGTTCACAGGGATCCAGAGATACTCCTGTGGGGGGCTGCAAAGGAGAGGCAAGGCCTTCCAAGCCCAGAACTACTGCCAGATGTTGGTGCCTAGAGCCAAGTGACTGTCTCACCTAAGGCCCTGGCCTGGCTTCCTCTGGCAGCTGTTGCCAAAGAAGGCAGGCCCTGGATACCTAACTCCTTTTAACTCTATCTGTTCCTGTGCAAAAGTGCAAGTAACAATGGTAACCTACTTTACAAAAGGGTCCTTATGAGGATTAATGAGGCACCCCATGTAAACAACTTAGCAGTGTCTGCTAATGGAAAGCTCCCTATGAATGTGAGCTATTACTTCACTGGGACTCAGGAAAGGCAAATGTCTGGTCCAAGATCACAGAGTTAGATAATTGGAAGAGTAGGAATGTAAATCCCGGGATAGCATCAGACCCTATGACCTGCAATATTCACAAAAGAGACCACTCCCTGGGCGTGACACCAAGGTCCCTGATGTCTTGGGGTGGGGTCCCACCTGCTCTTGACCTCTCCGATGAGTTGGCACCTCACTTTAGTTTACTAGCACTTTCTCTTTCTCACCAACCCTAAGAGCTGGAATCATTGCTTTCCCCCTCCCCCACCCAGAGAAGCAAACTGAGGCCGAGGGCACTGAAGGTCAGTCTTGGTTTCTGCCCCAAAGGAACTCAGGCCACCTAGGGGCAGAAGGAACCCAAGGGTCAAGAACTACAGTAAGACAAAATGCTAAGTCTGGGAGGCCAGGGTAAGGGGCACATCCATTGCTCTATGCTCTCAGCCAGTTCCCTGTCCTTCTAGGCCTCAGTTCCCCCACAGTTCCCCGGAAGGAAGGTAGAATCTCCTAAGGCGCTCCAGCAGGACTTTTCGCTTCTCGGGAAGGTGCCGCCCATACCCCGCAACCAGGACCCTCCCACCATGACCGACTTCAGAGCTGACTGGGGTCCCAGCCCTAGGACTATCAGTAAATCCCAAGTGACCCCGGCTGAGGGTTGAGCGGCCAAGGCGGGAGTGTACACCTGGCCAGGTATCGCTCAAAACTCGACAGCCCGGCCCGTGGCAGCGGTCGACCCAAGGTCGCGCGGCTGGACCCTGCCTGCACTAGGGCGGGGTCCCCCTCGTTCCCCGGGGTGAGGGCCGGGCCCTGGGGAAACACTGACCAGGCTCGAGCTGCGGCCCCGCTGCCTCCTCCGTCCTCATGACCCGGGCCACGCGGGGCGCCCATGGCCCCGGCCCGGCGCCGGCTGCAGCTTCGGCTTCGACTGGGGCGGGAGCCGGGCTGGTGCGTGTCAGATTCCTCCTCCGCTGCCACCGCCACCGCCACTGCCGCCGCCGCCACCGCCAGCGCGGTGGGGAAAAGGGGAGGCGGCGGCAGGGCCGCCCCAAGCCCCGCCCCGCCTCTTCCAGGCTTCGGCTCGGGGCCCCGCCCCTTCCTTAAACCCCACCCCTTGCTGGGTCTCGAAGAAGCCCCTCCCTTTCTATTCCCCGAACTTCTGTTCCTAGAGGTCTCCAGCCTCCGGATCTAAGCGGGTCCTGGCCATTGGCAGTCCCGGCTTCTGGTAACCCCGCCCCTTCCCCCCGCCCCCCAACTCTTCGCGCAGACGCGCAGGCCCTTTCGCGCCTCCGCTCCCCGGAAGCTCCGCCCCTTCGCCTGAGCGCGGCCCCGAAGCCCTGCCTTTCCACCAGCACTGGTTCCCCAGAGACTCTTGACCTTACCAAACTCCGTCTCTGCCTGGCGGTACTTCTCGGCCACCCTCAGGCCTAAGGCCAGGTCCAATCCGCACACCGCGGGGCTCCGGGAGACCTAACACTACTCGGATTTTTTTGAAGGACGGCCGTAGGCCTGCTCCCGCTCTACTCTAAACCGGTTTCTCTATCCGTACGGTGAGATACCTCGCCTTAAGGAGGACAACCCCTTACCTGGTGGTGCCGGGTTCCAAAGGTTAAATTGTGAGAGTAGGTCCTGGCCCTCAGCCCCATTGCCTGCTGCCCCCGATCCGCGGGCCCAAGCCCCAGATCCCCGCCTTGCCGTCCAGCCTGTCCCTGGTGTTAGGTGCTTGGAAACGTGAGGCCCCCGCCCCCGCCTTGACGGCCTGAGGATCAGTGTTTCCGGCGGCACCTGGACCCTGTCACCAGGTCTCTCTTCCGGGGTCGGAACTATCGGAGCGGAGTCAACGTTTCCCAGCCGGAAGAATAAGAAGGCAGCAAAGGCAAGACCGCGCTCACCACTAAGAAAAGGAAGGGGCCGGGTCCTGCGCGCAGCATTTTGGGAACGCGTGGTATTCTGGGAGCGCGAGACCCGCCATTCGCTTGGCTCACGCCTTCGCAGTCGCTGGAGTTGCCGCTGCACCGGAAGGGGAGAGTAGGCCGGAGCCGGTGAGGTGAGACCCGGGGCAGGCGAGGGTAGGCCCGAAGCATGCGTGAGGGGCCTAGGGCTGGAGAAGGACGCGCTGCTGCCGAGGAACTCTGGGAGGTTCGGGGAGGGAGAAGAGCGGGAAGCCCGGGTCACTCAAACATCTGCGTTGCCTCACTAGCGCCTGGAAGTGAATTCTCATTAGCTTTCCCCCAAAGTACATGCTCTTCGTTTTCTCTGTCTCTCCAGACCACGTTTTCCCTCACATACAGGCAGTAGTCTTGAAATCATTTCTGGCTGCCTCCTTCCCCCAAGTTCTCTCCGGGTAATCCTTTCCAAAGTTGTTTGCATCTCTGCCTCCCTTCCCCCTTTAGGCATTCGTCCTCTTATGCTTTCCATATTGTTACAGAAACTTTATCAAGTTTCCTTGCTTCTAAATTGTTTAAAAAAAAAAAAAACTGTTTGATCCGTTTGTAAGTGCTGCTGCCTTTTTATTGGATCATTCCTTACCTATAAGCCTGCAGTAGTTCCCCACTATCTTCAGCATAAAAGCCAAACTCCTAGTGCTACTTCCTCACCGAGGGAACCTGTCTTCCCCGAACTCATGTTTCTTTTCCTTGCTTGGACACACATGATGTGTTCCAGCCTTCATTCGTTGCTCATCTGGGAATATGAAATCCACTGCTTGTTTCTTTTATTTACATGAAATCAGGTGATTTCCATGATCATGCTTTTCCTCCAGACGTTTCCTGCTTATAGCACGTTGTCCCTTTGTGAACACTTCATTTTCTATTTAACCTTGAAGAAGTGGAGGGTCAGTGGGTACTTAATGAGTCAAATTAAATGCATGCCTCTTCTAGATCTTCGGTCTATATCTGCATTGCCCAGTACTTTAGCCACTAGCCCAAGGCCATTGACCTCTTGAAATGTGGCTGATGTGACTAAGGGAGTGAATGTTTAATTTTCATTTTATTTCACTTTAAGTTTAGTTAAAATAGCTATGGGTGGATTGTGGCTACTGTATTGGGCAGCTCAAGTCTATATCATGGGCTCTCAAAAGTAGTGTCTGTCATCCACAACTATGGGTTGGCAAGTACATCATGTGGTATGTATAGTTCAGTCCCCTGTTCCCCAACACACACACAATATTGGTTACTGGTTATTTGATGAAGGTAAAGAGGCATATGGTAGCAGGGAAGAAGATGGAAGGCACTTTTTTCTCATCCCATTAGCTTTCCCTCTCTCTAGCCAACCCCCCCCCACTATTCTTTACCACCCCACATCTTGCATGTATTTGCCAGATGAGTTCCTCAAGTAGGGATTAAGCTTTTTTTCCCCCATGGAAAATAGCAGTTTTGGCATTCTTACTAAGTTCTATGGAGTGTCACGCCTTAAGGGAAGCATGATATGTGCCATATGACTTCCTAGGCCTTGAAGGATGAACTAACTGTTGTCTCTTTCACTGTAGAACTCTTTTCCTGCCAAGATGTCTATTGGTGTGCCGATTAAAGTCCTACACGAGGCTGAGGGTCACATCGTGACATGTGAGACAAACACTGGTGAGGTGTATCGTGGGAAGCTCATTGAGGCGGAGGACAACATGAACTGCCAGGTATCCTGCTTTCCGTATAATGTTATGGGGGAAGCTTGGGCCTCTGTCTTGGAACACAGAAAGATAGTAATTGGAGGTCTTTCTGCAGTTCTTCTCTTTGAAGAGTTATTTTGGCATTTTTGGCATGCCTAATGTATGCCAGCTGTTGTTATAGTTGCTGCTGATGTGGCCGTAAATGAGAGCCATTTAAAGTTTGGGATATCTCATTTTGTTTTCTCTATCCTATAATCATCTTCCATATTTTGGGGACTTGTTTAAAAGAAGTATACTTTGGTAGAATCTGTCAGGTTCAAGACCATTCTCCATTTGCCCCTACATGTTTGTTGAATCTTCCACTCACGTACCGTATTTATTTTCCATCTTTCTTGGAGGAAGAGTCTCATGTGATTATAGCAACTACCTTTTGAGGTAAGCAGATTTGGTGATAGTTTTGTCATCCATAAAATAGGGAGAGTAAGATTAAAAGACTTCTATCTACTGAATGTCTTTCCATTAACAAATATCGGAGCAGCTTCCTCATACGGTGCCCTTTTTGTGACACTATTTTGTGTTTTACTAATAACCACTTGAGTTTGTAGAGCATTGCTTTGGCAAGATGTATCAGCACACTTTCTCCTTTTTTCTTTAAATCATCAGTTAAGAGCTTGTGCTTCAGAATCAGAGACGTGGGTTTGGGTCCTAATCATCTGACCTTGATCATGTTAATTGCTTCAGTTTCCTTGTTTCTAAAATGGGAACAGTGTTATTTTATGTTCTCTGAGACATATATGCCAATGCAGAATTGTGCAAGAGATTTATTGGGGGAAATGATAATGAAGGATAAAGGAGAAGGAGTAGGAGTAGCTAGGAAGGCTTTCAATCTGTACTGGTCTGGTGCTGGGAAAAGGAGAAGGAAAGACAGGGTTGAGTGGGAAGAGCCTTAGAGAACAGTGTGTTTCTTTTTTTTTTTTATTTCTTTATTTTTTTTTTTTTTATTTTATTTATTTATTTTTTTTTTTAAAGATTTTATTTAATTTTTTGACAGAGAGAGATCACAAGTAGTCAGAGGCAGGCAGAGAGAGAGAGAGAGAGGGAAGCAGGCTCTCCGCTGAGCAGAGAGCCCGATGCGGGACTCGATCACAGGACCCTGAGATCGTGACCTGAGCCGAAGGCAGTGGCTTAACCCACTGAGCCACCCAGGCGCCCAGAACAGTGTGTTTTTAAGGAAGTATCAGCCAGCAGGAGTTGTTCATTAGAAGAGTCTAGTATGGGGCAGAAATGGCCTGGCTCTAGGATCCCCATTGTGATCAATCATTGGCCGGCAGCCTGGGGAGACTGGCTTCAGAGTGAATACTGTGATGGATCCCATAGGTCACAACTGGAGACTGTCAGCTCCTTGCATGCCTCATAGCCTGACGACCCTTGAGGGGAGATCTGAGCAGAGCATTCTGGAGATAGGGATAACACCCACACCCTGGGGCTGTTCTACAGATCAGGTTAGTTATGTATGTGCAACAAGTAGTTCACACCATGCATGGTACATGTTCACATGTAGTTTCTGTTAATGTTTTCTAGGTGAGAAAACTGAAGGTCAGAAAGGGAAGGTGACTTCTCTAAGATCACTGCAGATCAGGTGTCTTATCTGTTGCTGTGCAGGGTTCACTTATTTACTTGTGACAGCTCTGTAGCTTTGAACATCATCTTCCTGCTAGGTGACCAGTGGGTGGGGCCAGTTCCCTGGCCCAGGGAAATAGACGTCTAGTAACTGCAGGTTTCTCTCTTCAGTGTTGATGCCATATAGGTAGATGGAGTGGGCTTTCCAAAGGTCCTGTGGGGCTTTGCCTACCTTGTCTTTGTGAGGACCCCAGTTATAGATCCAGTCTCTGGCTTAAGGCATCCTCATCCATTTTAAGGTACTTTGTTTTGGTGAATAGAATGCAAAACTGGGGGTGAGGCACTTTAATGTGTTTATTCAGCTATTTATTTGGACAACTTACTGAGTGTCTAGTGCCTCAGACTGCCCATTTGTATTGTGAGGGTGTCTGAGCAGATGACCTTGGTGGTGTCTCAAATGTAGCTAGTGTGATACAAAGCGCACAGCCTGGTGATAGATCTAGAATCGGGTTGCAGCCTGCTACCTTGAGTGACTTAGGTCAAGCTTTGGATCTCCTTCACCCTCTTGTTCCCTCCTTTCTAAGTCAGGAATAAAAATAACACCTCAACCTCAGCATTAGTGCAAAATAAATGAGTGAATGCATGTCCGATGGGGGGAGCCAGTCACTTGCTTCCTGCTTATGTTAATCTGGTAGGGCTGTCATAACAAAGTTTCACGCTGGGTGGCTTAAACAAGTATATTTATTCCCTCAGAGTTCTGGAGGTGAAGAGGTTTGAGATCAAGGTGCCACAGGGTTAATTCTTCTCAGGGTATGAAGGTTCTATTCTAGGCCTCTCTCCTTGGCTTATAGATGTTTGTCTCCTTCCTGTGTCTTCACATGGTTTTCCTTCTGTGTAGGTCTGTATCCTGATCTCTTCTAAGGACGCAAGTTACATTGAATTAGGGCTCAGTTACCTCTGTAAAGATCCAGTCTCTAAATATGGTCACATTCTGAGATGTTGAGGGGTTAAGACTTCAACAGATGAAGTTAGGATTCAGCCCATAACACTGCCCATGCCCAGATGCTGAGGCTTTGCTGGTTTTACCTAAACCTGGCTCACTGAATAAAAACCCGCAGGCACAGCTGAATGTATTGCGATAAATCCAGCACAGTTCATTCACACATCCCCAGGATGCATAAGGCCAGTGGCTCCTGCAGTTCCTGCTGCTTTCCTTCCTTCCTGGCTCCAGTTAGTCTGCCCTTTGGGAGTGAAAGCATCCCCTTAGCACTTTCCAGCCTTTGCTGGAGGACAGTTGGAATTTAGGGTTTGCCATTTGATGTTGGTTTTTAATAACTTTTTTTTTCCCCCTAAAGACTTATTTATTTATTTTAGAAATCATGTGTGGGGGAGAATAGGGGGAGGGGCAGAGGGAGAGAGAGAACCCTGAAGCAGACTCCTAGCTGAGTGTGGAGCCTATGGGGCTTGATCTCATGACCCTGAGATCATGATCTGAGCTGAATTCAAGAGTCGGCCATGCAGACACCCCTAACATTTTTTATTACAAAAGTGTGGTGGGTCACACACTACAAAGATTTGGAAAACAGGTAAGAGCATCTTGCCACAACCACAGTTGGAAGGCAGCTGTGCTGACCACTATACCACCAACGCGCCACAACCACAATTGGCATGGACTTTTTTTTTTACCCTAGGAAGGTGTCTTGGGATTCTACTATTTACTTTTTACTCTGCTTTCGAAAAGAGTTAGAGGTAGGGGGCGCCTGCGGGGTTCAGTTGGTTGAGTTTGCCTTTGGCTCACATCATGATCTTAGGGTCCTGGGATCAAACCATGCATTAGGTTCCCTGCTCAGTGGGGAGTCTGCTTCTCCCTCTGCCTCAGCCCACTTGTGCACATGCTCTCTCTCTCTCAAATAAATAAATAAAACTTGTAAAAAAAAAAAAAAAGTTAGAGGTGATTCATTAAAAAACTATATGATAAGGTAAAAATGGACAGATAGGTCATGGTGCAGTTAACTTGGGGTAGACTGTAAAATGAAGCCAGGCAGGCAGTTAGTAATCAGAAATGTAAACCTGAATCCCTGTACATTTAATAAAGGCATATTCTGTTCTCAGCTACTTAAAGAGGCCTGGCAGAGGGAGATCAGCAGTTCTAAGGTACATAGTGCCCTTAAGATAAAATACCAGTTGTGCAGTTTTCCTTGGCATTCAGATGTGGGAGACATTTTTCCCCTGGGCCCTGATGAAAGGTATACAGTCTCAGTCTATTAGATAGTGTCATCAACATCCCCATACAAAATACACCTTTTGGGGTTCCTCAGATATTTTTTTAAGGTTTTATTTATTTGTCAGGGCGAGCATGCGCAAAGGCGTGCGCACAAGTGGGCAGAGTGGTAGGCAGAGGCAGAGAGAGAAGCAGGCAGAGAGAATAGGGTATTTTTTTTTTTTAAGATTTTATTTATTTATTTGACAGAGATCACAAGCAGGCAGAGGCAGGCAGAGACAGAGAGACGGGGAAGCAGGCTCCCCACTGAGCGGAGAGCCCAGTGTGGGGTTCGATCCCAGGACCCTGGGATCATGACCTGAGCTGAAGGCAGAGGCTTTAACCCACTGAGCCACCCAGGCGCCCGGAGAATCAGGTATTTTTAATGTAGCCCATTACCACAGCCCTTTTTTGACAGTGCAGATGTAATCTGTGCAAGAATTAATCTTAGGATGAGGTCCTTGAGATGGTGCTCACAGGGTCAGAAGGTGTAGATACTTTTTTGCATCTGAGGTTTGTTTGGGAAAGCAGGGAGTCTTGTCCTTCTGCTCTGTACCCCACAGCTGCAAGGCAAACATAATCTGCTAGCCAGGGCTGTCAGCTGTGGTGGCATCTATAGGTGAGAGAGCCCTGTGAGTGCTCTGAGAGCATCTCCTAAGGGCTCTGTGTGTGGGGGGTGAGCAGGGCCTCTGTGGCTCTCCAAGTGGTTTTCTTAAGCTGATTTGTGTTTGTAGCAGAGATGGGACCTGATGGAGGAGTGTATCCCATCTCTGGCCCAGCCTGGGTATGGATGATTTAAAACCAGAGGTCCCCAAATGGGGAAATTTCTGTTGTTGGTTATGTGTGCTTACCATGGTTTTGAAGCATCCTATCTTTTTTAAATGTCAATGAGGGAATGAAGGGATTTTTCTTCAAAATAAAAAATATATATTTCTTAAGAAAGAATACTTCTAGTCATATATTTGGTAAAATATTAAAAACCAAAAAGGACCTTTAAGGTGAGGAATTATGAGTAGAAATAAGCACGTTATTTTAATTTTAATAGACTAGCCTATATTTATCTAACCTTTCGGAGGCAACTTTTATGGCTATGGATTTTATTGGGTATCCAGTGTAAAGTGTCCCTGGAGGTTCTTGTGTAGGGAAG